GGGGGCGGGGTGGGGAGGGCTAGGTTTGCGCGTAGGCTAGCCAACCTCCCGCCCGCCGTCCCCTCAGGAACAGGGGGCTGTGGCGCTGTGGGGCTGTGTAGGGTTGCCAACTCCTTCTTCGCCAATACTTACCTTCACATTAACGCTCTAATCGAGTATCGATCAGCCCAGCACCATAATGGTCAGCTTCATTATTTTAAGTATGTACCGAAGAGAAAAGCAATTTCCACTCCCCCTCAGTAGATGAACGCGGGCACCACTTTCTCACCAAAATGAAATTGGCGGTGAAGAAAGGAGATAAGCAGATAAAACCCAATCAGACCTTTGTGGCAAAATGTCCTCCACTTTTAGCACAAACCGTGGCTACGCGAGCCGAACAGATGCAGCGTAGAGTGCGGCCGTGGCGGGTGGACACCCCGCGCACCTGGCGGCTCTAGGCCTGCTGGTTGCCGCAGCGTCTTTTCATCCTCTTTTCTTTTATTTTTCTTTTTTTTTAATTTTACGGAATCCGACGCAAAAGGGTTGAGGGTCCGTGTCGTTTTATTTTGGGGATAGCAGATGATGTGTGTTTGGCGAGGTGAGGTGAGGATTCATCTTTGTGTGCAGCTGGGGCTGGGGGCGCTCAGAGCAGCAATAGCAGCACGCGATTACCGAAAGGGGGAGAAAAAAATTCCTTCGTCGGCTTTCCTATCCCTTTCTTTCTCGAGAGCTGTCTGCTACTGCAATTCTCCATTTGCAAAGTGGACGTTTTAATTATTTTTACGAGCACGCCGAAAGGGTTTGTGTAGGGGGTTTGCACCCAATCAAATTATCATTTATATTAAAGAAAGAATTGGCTGGTAAATTATAGCGGGGTTTCCAGAGAAACTGTCTATACGAACGAATACCGTGTGAATTGTCTTTCTGTCGAGCTGCCATCCCTGCGAGAGATTGGAAAGAAAATGGATCGGTTTCGTAGCACAAAATATTTTAACAGCAATTGAGAAATTCAAAACGTTACGAGAACACATGCAAGAAGGAGGTGAAGGTATGAGGATGCCCAGCCAGCAAGACATCGCTGGTTCGACTCCCGGTCAAGTCCGCGCGGGCTTTCAATTACTTTACGACGGAAGTCGATGATATTATGGTATAAAAGAAGGGCGATGTAGAAGATGAGGAGGGCGAAACAGGACGGAGAGATGCCGAAGGAGCGGGAAGAAGGTGCAGTAGGAGCAGGGCGGCCCCCGAGGCTGCGCGCGGGGTCTCCTCCGGTTAGCTAATCGCCGCCGTTTAGGGGAGCGTTTAGGCGAAATACAACACATGGCGTGCCTGCAGCCCCCGCCCCTCCTGGGCCTGCTCCGCCTCCCGTGGCTGCCCCTCAAGTGCCAGCGCGACAACCGCTCGGCAGCCCCTGTGGGCAGCAGCTCCGGCCCCCGGCGCAGCGGCGTGTTGGCGGCTAGACCGATAACAACACGCCGCGACTTCTTGCGTTCTCATCCTGACTTTCACCCCCCCCCC